CCAGGGGTAAGCCACTTAAGACCTCTGCAGGTGCCATATTCTACCTCATCCCTGAGAAAGAAGGTCCTTCCTCAGGGGAATCCAGCAGGGAGGGGCATCATGAGGAGCTTAAGGTCAGAGAACCAGGTCTGTGTGGGCCACTAAGGCGCAACCATGAAGACCTGCCCCTCTGCCTTCCTGACCAAACACTGAAGCCAGTGCTGAAGAGGTCATATAGTGGTCTCATGTGGTGGAGTTACCGCGGCTCTGGATGTCATATTCCCCAGGAGCCTCTGAAACTGTTTCAGTGGGACCGCTGTCTTCCCCCTGAACATATTCAGGCAGTTGAACACTGGCTATGCACACTCGTTCATGGGACGCGCCGTCATATTGACTGAGTCCAACTCCATACCGAGAAAAGAGATGCTATGCACAGGGGAGAGCTTGCTCTTCTCCCAGTTGACCCAAAGCCCCAGATGGCTGAGGTGCCTGAGCACCAGAATGTGTTCACAGGGGGGTTTCGCTGTACTTATCTGTACACACACACTGGCGAAACACATCTGAATGCACCTTTTGTTGATATCCAGCACTAGCAAAAATGATGCATGCCACCATCTTATATACCCATATGTACGGGGGAGTGGAATGTGGCAAATTCATTGGACATTTTTCTAATGGCGCTTTTCCTCTGTATGGTACGGTACGGCTCACTTGTGGCGCTTTTCCACTGCATGGTACGGTACGGCTCACTTGTGGCGCTTTTCCACTGCATGGTACGGTACGGTACGGCTCGCTTCGGCTCGCTTTAACGGGTATCACCTCTGTCGAGGTTCCAAGCGTAAAATACTGATACCGATACTAAAATGTGACATGAACACACTGCAGATCACTGATTGGTCAGACAGAATCGTCACTACCAGCGTCATTATATTTGTGAGACATCAAACACGCTAGATTTAAATAGCAAGTAACAGCCACCGCTGTAGCACCTGTTTTAAAACTACTTGCTTGACTTGCTTGAAGAAAAAAGAAAGAAAGAAAACTTCCAAAAAAGAAATGGCTGCATCGTGGTGAGTGGACGAAGTGCAGACGTTCCTCTCGTTGGTTGCCGAGGAGCGGATAAACTATAACGGTCAGACTATAATCCCACCCACTTTGAAGCGGTACTAACTGCAGTGGAAAAGCAAACCGAGCTAAAGCGAACCAAGCCGTACTGAGCAGAGTCGTACCACGCAGTGGAAAAGCGAGCCGAACTGTGCCGCGCCGAGCCGAACCGTACTGAGCCGTACCACGCAGTGGAAAAGCGAGCCGAACCGTGCCGAGCCGAGCCGAACCGTACTGAGCCGTACCAGCAGTGGAAAAGCGCCATAAAACTCAGAGGGGATTGGGGCTCCCAAGTGAAACCCCATTTGTCAGTCGACATAATTTCAAAGTGACTGACAGACAGAAAACTGATAGCATACAAGTATGGCAAGGGGATATTTCAGATTTTTTCGATGAATTCACGTTATTATTTTCAAACAAGAAATCGCGGTTTAATAAAAATGTTAGGAAACATTACAAGATTAGATATGTTGACAATAGAATAATGATAACAGTTAAGATGGCACTGAAAGGTGCTGTTATTTTCTGTATTAACAAAGCATTTGATGTTAATAATAGCCTACTGGTGTTATTTTTTGCTGTTATTTTTTGGCTAAGAAATATTTATAATTTTTCTTATTTTATACAGTATGCTTTCTGAGTGCTGTATATGTTTCAGATAAGTTTGTACAATATTTGACTTCACATTTCATGCATATTTTCTGCAAAGATTTTTAACAAATAACAAGTCATCTGCTTTACTTTTACACCATGATGATCACTTCAGGTGTGGTGCACTTGGAATAAAACTTTTTTTTAACCAGATGTTTAATGAAGAGAATGTTACTAGAAATCATATTGTAGTTACGTTATTAAGTTGACTAGCACTAAATCGTGAATCGGTCAATCGTTCAGAAAAATATTCAACAAACTCAAGGAAGTTTTGGAGGAATATTAAGTTCTTAACTGGTAACAAAACTACTACAGACCTTCCTTCCAGTATAATGAAAGATTCCATCAAAATCATAGATAAAAAGCAAATGCTTAATAGTTTTAATACAAATTTTATCCTTTATTTCAAACAAATAATTATATAAATTCAAACTTAGAATTTCTCGAAGCAGAACGTAATCTATGGCAAAGAGAGTTTGCTTTTGAACAAATGATTTGCTCTGACGTCAGTTCTGCTTTAAAAGAACTGGATGCAAATAAATCTCCAGGTCCTGACCATAGCTCCGTTGTTTTTAAAATTAGCGGCTGATCTTATTTCTCCCTCACTGACATATTTGTTTAACCTTTCTTTATTAACTTACAAAATTCCACGGATCCGGAAGTCAGCATTTGTTGTTCCTCTGTCCAAAGGGGGGTGATCCTTCTTTAATGGACAACTATAGACCGATATCTAAACTTTGTATTCTCTCGAAACTCTTGGAAAAATTAGTTAGTGAGCAATTGACATAGTATTTAAATAGTCATAATATTCTGTCTATTAACCAATCCGGATTCCGTAAAGGGTACAGTACGTCTACAGCCGTTTTAAAAGTCTTGACATAGTGACATAGTGGAGTCCTTAGATGACAAGAAACACTGTGCATGTCTTTTTATTGACCTATCAAAGGCTTTCGACACTGTGGATCATGATGTGTTATTAACAAGGCTTCGGTCAGTAGGACTATCAGAAAATGTTATCTTATGGTTCACTTCTTATTTAAAGGGAATAACCCAATGTGTTCAGGTGGAAGGTATTCAGTCAGATCCATTGGATGTTGTTAAGGGGGTCCCACAAGGATCTGTGCTAGGGCCACTATTATTCAGCATATATATACGTACATTGGCTGGATTTTAACATTAAAAATACAAGGTTTCATTTTTATGCAGATGATACTATTATACAGTATATTGTTCAGCTTCCTCTAAGCAACAATCTGTGGCTTTTTTACAATCTGCTTTCGATATAATCCAAAATAGGTTTTGTGCCTTGAAGCTGGTTTTAAATGAGAAAAAAACTAAATGTATGTTATTTTCTAACTCTAAAATTTCTACTGAAAATTCAATCTCTCTTCGGACTTCTCAGGGTAGTCTGATTACATTATTATCGGAGTACAAGTACCTCGGTATTTTATCGATAACATTACGTTTTGGTTCACATATCAAATATTTGAGGCAAAAACTCAAGAAAAAATTTGGATTTTATTTTAGAAACAAGTCATGCTTTTCATTTAATGCGAGGAAGACACTAGTGTCTGCTACTTTTTTTTACCAGTTTTTGACTTTGGGGATGTAGTGTATCAGCACGCAGCCTCTTATCTTGTCTCTCTGGATGCTTTGTACCATAGTGCTCTGAGATTCATAACTGACTGTAGACTTTCAACACACCATTGTGATCTATACAAAATGGTTAGGTGGCCTTCGTTGAATATTAGAAGAAAAAATGCACTGGTATTTGTTGATTTACAAAGCTATATTGGGTTATCTGCCTCCTTATCCTTGCTGTCTTATTAAACAGAAATTGCCTGGTAATTACTCATTACGCTCTGAATCAATCCACAATCTGTGTGTGCCTTTTGCTAGAACCGAGCTGGGTAAAACCTCTTTTAAATATGCCACAGCCTCGGATTGGAATCTTCTCCAGACTGAGATCAAGCTGAAGAATTTGGTGTCTTGTAGTCAGTTTAAATTTTTATTAAGAAATTGCCAGAGAAATTTAATGGTGTGTAAATGTTTTTAACCAGTTGTATGTTTATGTCTATGTAATGATGTTTCTGTTTTTTATGTTTATGTGTGTCGTAACTTTGATGTAAAAACTGTCTATGTAAACTCAGCTGCCTATCTTGGCCAGGACACTCCCATAAAAGAGATTTTAATCTCAGTGAGTCTTATTTACTGGTTAAATAAAGGTTATACAACTTAAATCATTCAGGAACAAAACACAGCTTCTGTTTGCAATGGATTTATTTGGTTTTGTTTGGAACAATTTTCATTGGTGGAGCTTTTTTAATAGAAGAGATGGCATAATAACACACTGTGATTGCATGTTGAATGAATCTGCTCAAGTAGCCTACTCAATGTTCATTCAATTAGAAATTTTAGATTAAATAGATAAAGTACATAGCAATATTGTCTTTAAAATAATGTAAGTTACTCAATGGCAAAAGATTGTGACTTTGGTGTACAATATATTTGTCATGAGTGCCAGATAATTTTCAGTTAGCTTCAGTAATGGGGAACGTAACCTCACTCTCTCACCTAGTGGTTGAGGACCCAGCTTCTGAAGCTCTGAAGGAGATGCCGCATGACACCTGCAGTGTTTACAGAGGACTTATTAACTAAAAGAAGGTCCAAAAAGAAGGTTGATGTTAATAATAGACAGCAGTTAATAAGAGGAAAGTTTAAAAGTGCATAAACTATGACATATATAAACAAATAACATTTCAGTCAAAATTGTAGGCCTATATTTTAAATCATATATATTTAGGCCTGTATTTTTAATTGAAGAGATGACATAATAATAGAAACTACAGTCGCTATATCCACATTAAACAATTATGCTAATGAAGATATTTGAAATGTACATCTAATTCGTCTTAAATAAAATCTTTAATTAAAACAAAAGCAGAAGCATCAACATCATCTCCAATTAGGGAAGCATCTTACTTTAAGAGTCTTTACTTTTCACTTCAAAATCTACAAAAGCTGCAGATGTACATCATTTAATTATAAAATAAATAGATCACTAATCTCGTGTCGTTCCGGTAGAATAAATTGCGATCAATGCTCAAAATTCTTAAATTAGTACTTCAGCACAAACATACAGAACATAAAGAAAAGAAGTAAATAATGACAAAAAGGATAGCACTTCTCTCTCAATGTGGTCTTCAAGCGGTGGCAGGTGTTTCTGGCTGATGTCACTTTCCACGGTCACATGACCTGCAGTGAGTCACGTGATCGGTGCTCCATTCTCGCCATTTTGAGTCCAGAGTGAAGCACTTTTACACCCCTGGAATAAAAACAGCGCATCACGGGCACCGAGGCCAAAGATCAGACACAACTGCCGCATCAGTAAGTAGCGTTTGGATGGTTGTGACAGTCGCATGACTCTGAGCTGTTTATTAAACGGCACAGTTGTTTTTTTACAGCTCATGTTGAAGTGTAAAATGTGCATGTGTGTGCTGCTGTTGTCAGAAACGTCCTGCCCCTTTCTCACGTTGCGTCTCCACGGTTATCACGGACACCATGTTCTCAAATACACACACACTCTCTGCTAAACTTAAACTCAACTATCTCACACCGATTGACTGAGAGTGATTTGCACGTGTTGAGTATCAGTCAGTTGGTCTGTGTCTCTAAACATCCGTCAACGCGTCAAATCTTATACTGTTGCACAGAGACACACAGCATGTGTTTATTTTTACCCCCTCACCAATCCGTTTTTTCTTCTCGGTTTTGGCCTTTGATTGTTTATTGTTACTATATTTAAACCCATAATATAGTACAATCTGATTATTTCACTTTTACAACATATAGGCCTAATTAATCTTAAAGGGACACTTTACCCAAAAAGTATCATTCTTTCGTAATTTTCTCAACCTCGTGTTGTTCCTGTATCACTTGTTTTCTAAAGTTTAACACGCACACACACAAAGATAGTGAAAAATGTGTCCGAGAAAGTAATTTGGGTCCAATGTTGTTTTGGACCCCGTCTATTTTTATTGTACAGGAAAGAAAAAAGAAAAAACCCGGTTCATTTGGAAGAGGAAAAAGCACACCAGGCTTTCCTTGTTTTCAATTACTGTAGAATAATTGCATGTGTTTACATGTTCATACTCCACGTGTCTTTGTTTTGATTCAGTGTAATTATTTATAACTTCCCTTTAACTGTTAGTCAAAATGCAGAAGTGCTATGAGTAAATGTCTTAGAAGTTGAAGAAAGTGAAGAAGTCACTCATTTATTATAAAAATATCCCTAAGGAATGCTGTACATTCTGCCATTATTGGAAACAATATGAATTTTTAAATACCGTCATATTGTTGCGTAGCTGTAAACAATTGCTGCATATTAATGGCTACACAGAATGCTATGAGTGTATTGACAGGGGACCTCTATTAACTGCATAGCCCTTTTACTGATGGTTAAAATTTTATAAAACAAACATAACCCACACTCAACTAACTTTCTTTAATGTGGCAAATACCATAGCCCTATGATTTTCAAGATGTGGACTGAATCACGGAATGTTAATAAAGCGGAATGTCACAGATCTTTTGTTTGGATAAATCAAAAGTAGAGCTGTACAATGAATCAAATTACAATATGGGTTGGCGTCTGAATATTAAAGCTCAAAAAGACTGCTATTGAATCTGAAGTCTGCATGTTCTCTGTGTCTCTGTGTGAATGAGCAACACACTTTTCGTCTACTACACACTTTCGTATTCCATCTCACTATATGAACTTTATCTCCAGATCTGCTCTGAGAGTTCACATTATAACCATTTTACCATTTAATTCAAGAAAAACTATCTCCACTACACAGAGAAACTTCACAAAAAAACTGTCAAAATAAAGTTTGGTTTAAGTTGAAATTATAACAGAAATATATTACATATTATATTAGCTAACACTAACCCACTGCAGTGAAACTGAACAAAAGTACAGCTATATAGGAAACAGGTTTCACGAATGAGCAGTTACTTAGTAGTCTAATGTGTATCCCTGGGCAACTTTCGTTATTCAGAAATATTGACCGCTGAGATTGACAGGTAGACTCTAGTGTGATGAAATCATGTAGTCTAAATCATATTAATCTGACATGAAAAAAAAAGAAAGAAATGGTTTGTTTACTATGCACTAACTAGTGGGTGATATTTGTATGTGAAGTAATGACTATTCTTGTAAATATGTAAGGAGGGCCACTTCCACGGTACACCCAAAGCTAATCATCTTAAAACTAGTGGTGGAAAAAGTACACAAATCAAGTACTGGAGGTAAAAGTATAGGCTATACCGTAATAAAATATCACTCCAGTAAAAGTATTAATACCTTTTTTAAATTTTACTTCAGAAACAGCTTTCTGGATAATTTGAGTCAGTGAGTTGTTGTCACAAATGAATCGTTCAGTGGGTGCGGTTTACGAACTGATTTAACAGGTTAATGGAAAAGAATCAGCTTGTTCGCGAATTGGACACGGCTAAATAACGTGTAACTAAATGTTTTTATAAAATTAGTGGAGTAAAAAGTATGAAAAGTACAGATACCACATAGTAAAAGTATTAATTAACAATGTTTTTTTTTTTTTTTTTTAAGTCAAAGTAAAAAAATACTTATTGATGAATGTTTATTATTTTGCAGTTCTATACTCCATCATGCTGGTTATAATGTAGACACACTTAAATAGTCTCTAACTGCTCAGTCTGACATCATTATAAATTATGAATCGTCAAGTAGCCAGCACTAATCAATAAGGACGTTTACGCTGACACTTTGATCTGCAAATAAGATGTTATATTACCAAAACTTGTTATACACTGATAACTACTATACTGATAATTGCTGATAATTAAAGTGTGCAAACAAATACAATATGCCATATAGCATATAAATATGAAGAAAAACAAAATGTGTTAATGTCTATTGACAAATATACAATATAAAAACAGACGTCGCATAGGGCATAATGTGTTAAGAATGTTTTGCAAACATACTGGTTTTATATCATTTGAAACTGCAACGACATCTGTCAAGACACATGAGCATTGATTGTGCATTATTTTAAAGTTATATTGTGTCATTTTTAAGCCTGCCCTGTTCAGATGGTAATAAACAAATGTGAGTTCACATTCAAGCATTTCATACAATAGGCTTAAAGGAGAACTCCGGTCAATTTTAACATTGAGCTCATTTTTTTGTTCGTTCGAAGTCCACAGTAGTCAATTGTCGAGTTCGCGCGCGCGATCATTGGTAACTAATATAACTAATGATCGCGCGCGCGAACTCGACAATCGACTACTGTGGACTTCGAACGAAAACAGGAAGTAAATACAGGTATGTGAGCTGGCTGAATTAACATCGTTTTTATTCATATCTTTCACATTTACTGCAGTCAGATTGACCGTGGTCACTCTTAATAACACCACTCACATGGCTGTGCACTTGTAATGACATATTAAGTTTGTTAAGAGGCTAAAAGCAGGTTTAGAACTTGCCCCATTGAAGTCAACAGGGTGCGAATTTTAAAAAGAGGATAACACGGTGTAGGCAACACCGATTTTTGTCGTTTTTGTCTGTACTGACAGCACTCCAAATGTACAAAAAAATTAGCTCAATGTTAAAATTGACCGGAGTTCTCCTTTAAACAGCTTTCGCTTTCACAGAAGATTTAGTTCACTAACATCTGACTGTTGTGATCTAAATAAGATTTTCATTTACAATAATAAATCCTAAAATTCGTCATTAGTAACTTACTTTTCGCGCCATCACGCGCACTCAAGTTCTGAGGATTTCAGGTTCTTGGCTCATTTTGAGTCAGACTTGGGAATTCAGGGAATTGTTAAAGTCCCTGTAAAGGTAATTCCAAAAAAAAAAAAAATCTAAACACATTATAAATGTTAGAAATGTATTGCTAAAACATATTACAAAGACTGTGAACTGTGAAGGACTGAATTGTGGAGTTAGACCGTTAAACAGTTTTTCACCATCTCTGTGTTCCGGATTTTTTGGGCGGGGCTAAAACTGGAGCCCCTGAGCTCCTGGACACGCCCCTACTTGATGACACACTGGAACCCCTGAGGCTGGCCCCTCCCCTAACAATAGAGCACATTCGCATCAGTTCGCCGCTCAATCGCGTTACTACAGCCAGAGAATGTCTAATAGCCTACAGTTTGCTAGTAGCTAGCTATGCCTTCGTCACGGAACTACGTATTACCTGGATGCGATCACTTACAAAACAGATCGGTGTCTTCGAAAAACGATCATATCAAGAAGAGGTGGATACATTTTGTGAAAAGCCACCTTGATTGAGAGCTGAGGATCACCGCCAAAACCCGCCTCTGTAGTCATTTTACACGGGATAGTTTTATAAACTTTCGTTGAAGACAACTGGGATTGTCTGTTACTGGTGAATGGGGCCGAACCGACTATCTCCCGCCTCGGCCTTCATCCTCCTGTCCCGAAAGCAGTATCACCTAATATCACCGTCGGGAGCTTTTCCGCGAGTGGGCGTGGTTTCAGCGCAGCCAGCGGACACACCCCCAGCGTTTGAGAGACAATACTGCTAATTTTTTCAAGATTTTGATAGCTTATTTTATTTACTTGACGGCTTTTTTATCATTCAAATTTAGCTGGGTGGCTAATATTAAATTTTTCTGTGGTATGACCAACTCCTCTTAATTTTGACTTTACAGGGACTTCAAGTGAATTTGCTCTGACTGGATTATTTGAATCAGTGAGTTGTTGTCATAAATGAATCGTTCAGTGTGATTTGCGAACTGATTTAACAGGCTTATTGAAAAGAATCAGCTTGTTAGCGAATTGGACATGGCTAAATAACAAGGATTGACATGTTATTTGGGAAAATGTCGTGGAGTAAAACTTATGATATTATGCTTTGGAATGCAGTGAAGTAAAAGTTTCTACATTTTTTTCAAGTATCTTTTATGTAAGTACAGTAACAACGTAAAAATACTTTGTTAGTGTCCAGTACTGCATAAAACCATTCTCCAACTCAGCATTTCTGAACTTTTAGAAAGCTGGAAGTTTGCTGCTAGTTGTGCCAGTTCATTCACATTTTCTTTTTTTACATGTTTCAGGAATGGAGGACAGCAGTGGTGTTGCTGTCTTAGTGCCCCACTCTAGAGGCCAGCAGGATACAGTCTTCATTCCCGACAGACGTCTTCATGGTGGCGAGGACCAGCAACGGCAGCAGCAAAAGCAGGCTGCTGACTCTCTTATTCAGGTCATTGAGAAGCTCAGCAAGATTGTGGAGAAGAGGCCCAGAAGATGCACCGTCTCTGGGAAAAAGAGACCCTTGATGACCTGTGCATCTATGCCTGTTCCAGACAGCAGGGACTGCACTGAAGGGGCCACACCTTGTAAGAGACCCAGAGAGCAAAGGGAAAAGCGCCCAGCACCCAGCAGCACGCCTGGGCATGTGTTCGCACGGGAGCCTTCAAGTCAAGGCACTCGGACAGTTACGTGTTACCAGTGCAGTATGTGCCGATTTATCTCACCTACATTGGAGCTGTTGAAAGAGCACCTGCTGCAGCATGACGAGCAGCACAGTGAGCTCATCCTCATGTGCTCAGAATGCCAGTTCACTTCAAATCATCAAGAGGAGCTGGTGGCACACGTAAGACTCCACCTGGAGGAGGGCGACCATGCTAGACGCATCCTAGACGAGCAAGCATTGGCTAGGAGGGTTCACCAAGGGATGACGGTTTTGAAGACAAGCAACTTAGAATCAGAGAAGACGTCTACGCCGAAGAAGTGGTACAGCTTTGAGCAGGGTAGGTACCGTTGTCTTATCTGCAACTATGAATGCAGACAGCAGCGCAATTTGAAGACCCATGCATGGAAACACGCTGGCCTGGTTGACTGCTCATACCCGATATTTGAAGACGAGACAGACTGTCCTGATACTTTACAAAGCTCCTGTCCTCCTGCAGTTCCAGCAGGTAAAGAGGATACCATTGTAGTTCTCGCAGCAGTTGGAGGAAAACCTCAGACGATGCATGGCTCCTCTAGCCTCCAGCTAGAGCTGTGTGCCTCACCAGAAGTGAAGTGTCATGAGGAGACGGCAGCTTTGAAAACAGTGGAGAGCAAAATGCCAGTGATTAGCCACATTTTTTCTATTAAAGACCCCGAGGAGCCCTTGATGGAGGTCCAGGTGACACCTGAGGCACAAATGGAGCTGGAGTTGGAGACTGAGAGTCGACAGGCTAGCTCCGACAGCCTCCTGTCCTCTGCGCAGAAGATTATCAGCTGCAGCGGCAACAGTGCCGGCCACGTCAACGTCATTGTGGAACGCCTTCCCTGTGCTGAGGAACCGGTGTCGAGCAAACCTCTGCTCCTCAGCCCAGAAGTAGAAGGAGACAAAACCCTTCTTGCCTCTGAGGAGCCAGAGTTAGAGAGCCAACACCACCCCGTATACTACAAACAAAAGGAGGAGGTTGTGATCGCCTGGAATGAAGAAGATCGACAACAGGAGGAGGAGACTGTGTCTTCAGGATCTCCCTCAGATGAAAACGTGCCACCGGTTCGGAGAAGGACTTACTCGGAGTCTCTTCGGCTGCATTCTTTAGCAGCCGAGGTACTGGTGGCCATGCCCATGAGGGCCCCGGAGCTTAGCAAAACCACTGCGAAAGGTATTCATGACCTGTGTACGCAAAGCCCTGACACAGGCCAGAAAATTATAGAGATTGCAGACACTGCCAACCCTAAGGTGTCCTCAGGAGAGCTCACCTGTGCCATTGGAGAGCCAGCTGCTCTACTTAACCTTGGCCTCCAGAGTTCAAAAGATTCTCGAGATGTGCTGGTCGAGGGACCCTCCAAAGCCGGCATCAGCATGTCCCTTTTGACAGTCATCGAGCGGCTGCAGGAGCGTTCTGACCAAAACACTTCAGATGAGGACATTCTGAAGGAGTTGCAGGACAACGCCCAAAGCCAACATTCTGGTGGAGTTCCTGGGGGTGTTGCTGTGCCCGCCGAAGTTTCCTCTACAGACGGTCTGGTGGAATATATAGCTGGGAGTGAGAGGCCCTACCGCTGTAGACTGTGCCTGTACAGCAGCGGAAACAAGGGCTACATCAAGCAGCACCTACGTGTGCATAGACAGAGAGAGCCCTACCAGTGCCCCATCTGTGAGCATATAGCCTGTGACAGCAAGGACCTGGAGCGTCACATGATCCACCACTTCAAGCCCCGCATGTACAGCTGCAAGCAGTGCACAGAGAGGTTCTACTACAAGGTGAGGAGAGAAACAAACCTGTCTAGTGGAAATAAGAATAAAAAAAAAAAATTCTTTTTAAAAAGGGCTTTTATTCTAATATGCCTGTTGAAGCGAAGAACCGTATTGGCCTTTTGTCATTATTAGAATATTTGATTCAAATGATTCTGTAATAATTTACTCTCATGCTGTTTGTCTGTCTTTCTTTGTTCTGTGCAACACAAAAGAGGATTTGAAGATTGTTTCAAATCTTTCCAGATTTCAAATTTGAATTTTTTGTTGTTGTTGCACAGAAGAATGAAGTCATACAGGTTTGGAACAACATGATGGGACATCAAACATTCTTTAACTAAATGGATATTTTAATGACGCAGGACTGAATGCTTGAATAACTATGCTTTAGAAGTGGAATTGTTTTACAAAAGTCCTTGATTATAGCAGTAGATTAAATACAAATACCCATTTACTATGTTTATTCGTTTCTATTTTGAATTGATATCTTTAAATAGATTTACTTAATCTTCTTGTTTTCAGCTTGTATTGAATTATCTTTGCATTTCCTGGTAGGCAATACATATTTAAGCAGGTCTCAATTGTTCTGAATGGGGAGCAAGTATTAATTTTATTTATGTAGATTGGCGTAACGAGTTTTTAACATTGGAGTGCACTGCTCTCCCTTCCACTGATGCGTTATTAATAAACTTCCTCCTTATGAAGCACTGATGATGGTTTTATTAATACCTCATTCAGAGTCAGCTGAGGAACCACGAGCGAGATGGGCATGGGATAGACGACATCAGCAACACACTGACCCACGTCGCTGAAAGCACAGTAATCGTTGAAGAGACAGCTAAGATGGCAGATGAGTGTGAGCATGAAATATACCTTCAGCACCACACAACCGGGAAAAAACAAACAGTTCACAACTGCACAAAAGCACAAAAAATAACACTTTCTCCTCCTTATAAAGTCCTTAGTCTTAATTTTTTTTCCCTTTTGCATTATAACATACTTTTTTTTTAAATAATAGGGTGGCGGCATTGGTTCTATCAATTGGTTATTGAATGGATTTTGAGACGTGGATGTTGCACTCAAAAATGAATGCAAACTTGCAGTCAATTGTGGAGGGGCGGGTCTTAAATGGTCTAAATGATTGGAGAATTCCGGAAAACGTATATATATATTTTTTTTTATTTAACCTACATTGTAATATAATGTAACATATAACATGCGTTTACAAAATAGGTTGAATTTTCATTTCATGCCAAGGTAACATTACAAATAATGTGTGATTATCATTTACCCCTTTCCCATCAACATGGTTCTGGTGGTTATTTAACAACTTAAAACTTAGAGACATTCATTTTGTGTGTGTGTGTGTGTGTGTGTATTTCTCTTTATTGCGCTGATTCAGTTGGCGAGCAGAGCGTTTTCAAATGCGATGTGTGTGACTACACCAGCTCCACGTATGTTGGGGTGCGTAACCATCGGCGAATCCACAACTCCGATAAACCATACAGGTTTGTATTTTTTTTTTTTTTTTACGTTCTCATTGAATATAAGGATAAATGTTTAGAAATGTGTTTTTTTTTATGTATTTTGTTGTAAATGATACATTACACAAGGAGAACAAATCAGAAAGCATGAGATGTTTTGTAGTTTAAATAAATTTGGCTGGAAATGAAAGCATTACCAGTTATCACCACAAGGGCGCAGTGGTGCTGAGGATAAGTCTTTGCTGCCTGCACTCATTGTGTTAAGGCCTTATGCTGAAAATGTTCAAAATCTTTTTAGCTTCAATGCAAGCGCACATACACAAACCCGATCACATGGAAGCTCACATAAACATCTCAAGGACCCTTTTATGGTCTCTTTGTGTGTTCTGACATGTCTTGCTTCAGTTCTGTTCACCCATGATCATTTCAAAAAGAACTTCTGAGAGAAAGGGTCCTTTTAACACAGCCACAGGATCCATTCAAGGCCTGCAATGTATTGTATTTGCCGCAAGCAGTCTCTATAAATGCATTTTCAATGGTCTTCAAACGCAGGCCTTCAAATGTTCAAACAACAGCCGATTAGAAAAAAGAAAATTACTGTGCAAACAAACAACGGATGACCCCACTTGACGGCCGCTCCAGAAGGTCTTTATTGAAACCGCAGTCTTGTGATGCTCTAACTGTTTATCCTGTGCCGCATGACCCCTCTAGGTGCTGCAGCTGTGATTTCGCCACAACTAATATGAATAGCCTGAAGAGCCACATGAAAAGACATCCACAGGAACACCAAGCCATGCAGCTGCTGGAGCAGTACAGGTGAGAATCAAACACTTTGGAGGAGCTGGTGTGCAGAACTTGACAGTAGGTGAAGATGGGTGATAATCTTTATTCTGTGTTACAGGTGCTCACTGTGTGGTTACGTGTGCAGCCACCCACCATCTCTCAAATCCCACATGTGGAAACATGCTGGAGATCAGAATTACAACTATGAGCAAGTCAACAAGGCCATTAATGAAGCCATTTCTCAGAGTAGCCGGTAGGAAGGACCTTTATAATGTAGATTGATTTATGTGATTGTTTTGTTTTGTTTTTACTCAAGGGTGAGGTTATATAGGTAAAAAATTATAATTATGTGATGTGAATTATATTTGTGATTTTTATTGTATTTTTTAAACCTGCCCCCTAAGGCTTGATGTAGCTAAAAAAAAAAACTTTCTCAATAGTTTCCAAGATTTTGACAATATTTGATATCTTGATATTTATGTTTGCTCTGAAATTTAAAGGGTTGCATGTTTTCCTACATTTTTTTTTTTTCCAGTAAATAAACACAAGGAAAATTATATTTAACCAGTTTTATTTATACACTACCGGTAAAACATTTTTTATTTCATTCCATTATTCCTGTTATGCATTTAATACATTATATGACTATATTAATATAATAACATTCAATATGCATTACAATATTTCTCCCAAAATACAATGGTTACAGTCAGTGTTACTACAGTAAATCCATGGTAAATGTTGGTAATTTGTGGATCGAAAAGCACTCTTGCTGAATCATTCACGGCACAACGTTTCTCCTGTTTTCGCTGTATAATAATGGTCGCATGATCGAGATCGGTCCATCGTGCTGCGCTGTATATTGGGCCGAGCTGAGAAATGGTCCATGTGTGGTTCCAATGAGTAGCTCCGTTTTATGTTTCTCATACGCAACAGAATTGGCAGCTCATAATTTAAATAGTTAGTTCAACCAAAAATTTAAATTCTATCATTAATTATTTTCCAAACCCGTAAGACTTTCGTTCATCTTCGGAACACAAATGAAGATCTTTTTCATGAAATCTGAGAGCTTTCTGTCCCTCCATTGACAGCTACACAACTACCGCTTTGACTCTTCAAAAAATTCATAAAGATATCGTAAATCTAATCCATATAAAACGGAAGCTCAAGCATGTTCGCTTGACGTGCGAGAACCAATGAGGTTCATTCTCGTGTTACGCAGCACGTTTGAGTTTTCGCAAGAACTAGGGGTGTAATGATATTTGAACCGAACCGAAAAACCGCGATACACCACCCACGATACGTATCGCGATACTCTCATGGCAAACCGAACACGCCCCGCCCCCTGCGGCCCCGCCCAGCCCCGGCTCATTGCACCTCATGTGTTATGTGTACACAACGAATAGGGCTGTTGCCTAACCACCATTAACCACATATAATCGCAATAAGCTCAGTGTTTTGTTACTTTTGATAATAAGCAAGGTGTAATCTTTCAAATGATGTCTATTTGATCACGAAATGCAAACAATAAATGCCGTTTTGGCGCTCTTAGATGTGGCGTGACAGATATCACTGTATGCATGCGGCAGCGCGGAGCGCGATCATCTCTTCCTCAGTTACAGAATAAACATGAATGGACACCCGAAGGTATGTTGAAAGATACAGTATACTTACTGAAAGGCATCATAACTCGTGTAAACACTCAATCAGTGTTTCAACAGCGGGAATACGTCAATAAAACGCTTAGTTTTTTACATAGCTTTATATTTACCTCAGGCAAGTCATTCAGTGTCCACAGCTTGCTGGTTTGCTAACTCTTTCACTAAATAAATGCTATATATTAGCCTATATATTATATTTTACTTAACCTGTTTATGATATCTTGATTATTTAATGTATGTTTAAAATAGTTGTCATGAAAATAACAGCAACTGTGTAAATTATTATATAACAATAACAAATTAGAGTAAAAACATGTTAATGCAAAAATTGCCTTATGTACAGTTTACATGTTTTCAAACAATTTGTTATTTGAGTGTTGATTATTATTATATCATTTAGGCTAAAAGTCTAGGCTCTGTTGTTAAGCTTTAATGTTATAGTAATGTGCAAGTAAGGGCTGTAGTTTACAGCATTAGCATAATTTTGTTATCCTTGAGAAACGTTTACTTGTAATTGAATTAATTTAAAGACAAGGACACAATTTGTTCATTAAAGCACTGTTTAATAAAAAATAAAAGCAATTTTAGCTTTCTAAACCCCCCCCACCCCACCGAAATGAACCGAACCGAACCGAGACCTCAAAACCGTGGGACGAACCGAACCGTCAGGTTTGTGTATCGTTACACCCCTAGCAAGAACCAATGAGGTTTGCTCCTGCGTCTTACGGGTTTGGAATGAAATGAAAGTGAGTAATTAATGACAGAATTTAAATTTCCGGGTGAACTAACCCTTTGGGCAACTTTGTAGTTGCAACAGTGCAACCTCTAAAAAAAAATTTAGTAGCACTTTTTTAGATTAAAAATTTTTAATCCTCAAATCTGAGTTTTGGATCATTTTATTGAAATGGACAGTTTGAACTAATTCACAGAACTGAATTGAACTTTCCAACTCTTCAGCTGTTTTTTCTTCTAAAGTTTATGTCAGAGAGCTCTGTTTTAAAACCTCTCTGTCTTAAAATTCTCATACACAGAGTGGTAGAACTAATCAAATGACATGGTCTTATAGAAACACAATGGCCTTACTAACGCAATTTTATTTTCTTTGTTTTCTCCTGGGATTAAGATCTCCTACGACGCCTCTGAAGTCAACACATGAGACGGGGATGGAGCGTCCATATATTGTCTTGACCAGAAAAGACAAACAGTCACCTGAGGTGGCTTCTGCTTCAGGTGGACAAGAAGGCAACCCCGTGAGGCCATCGTCCACCAGGGAGCAGGCCGGCGGGGCTGTAGCGTTGCGGAGCGGTTCGGGGCAGACGCGGGCAGGTATGGAATACTGTGTGCTGCTCTTTTGCTGCTGTATCTGTGGCTTTGAGTCCACCAGTAAAGAGCAGCTGATGGAGCACATGAAGCAGCATGAGGGAGATCTGATCAGCATCATACTGAGCAAGGAGCAGCAGGGAAATCAGCCCACAGAGACCAGCAGCAGCCAGTGACACACACATATTCATACATACCGGTCTTGTATCATTTCTGCTTGGACAAGCAACATGCACACTTTCAAAACTTTCTTTTTTCTATCGATTTACCTTTGTATTGATGTCACAGTTAGTTTCCGTTACTGCTATTGACCATGGGCATGTGATTTCAGCGAAGTGCAGTCAAATAGGCAACAAATGAAATGTAATTTACTAGTTCAGCAGCGGAAAGAGTAACTTTTGTTGTGAATTATGCAAATGATGAATTTCAAAGTCATTGTATACCTCATCTGTTCAGAACATACATCGTAGAGTCCACACATTATGAAAATGAGGCAGCTTCTCTTGTTCACTGTAATATTATTTATATCTATATTTCCTATGTGCGTTAACCTTTACCTTTAGAGTTTAGAGACACTGATTTCTTTCTTGCTGTCTCTGTGTCATTTGCATTGATATTTATCAAACTAATTTATTTTTTATGCATGTTCCCCTCCGTTATGTTCATACAAATTAGAAAATTTGTTTCTAGTTATGGTCTCTTTTTTGGTGCTATTGGGCTTGCGCTCAGAAATGAGCGAAATAAGTCATCATTGGGAATGTATCTTAAATTTGTATATAAGCGTTATATAATGAATTTAAATGTTTTCATTGAAACAGCACAAGTATAAAATTGGCCCCATAATTAACTATTGGAAACGTGCAGCAGAAAAAGCTACAGATAGATCAATGTATAATTATTATTGTTATTATTGAAATACACACATTCAAATCTTTATCAAGCTATAGCAAAGTTAAAATGCCAAAACTTGAAGATGTGTCTCACTCTTAAATACCCTTACATGTTTTAATGAGTAGGTTATTGTAGTTGTAGGAAGGTTTTTTTTTTTCATCTTTTTTTCATCTGCTGTCTAATGGTTAAACAAAAAAAAGGTTATTGGGTTGTCACAATACCAGCTATAGTAACACGATACCAAGTAGTACCGCGGTATCTCTATTATTGAGTGGATTGTTATTGCAGGGGCTGTTCTGTTGTATTAATTATTTACAGTTCACACAAATATGTTGTCATTATATAATATATTGGTTATTCTTATTAGTACTTTAATATTATTGTACTATAATATACTTTTGGATACGTTTTGTTTTTTTCCCCTTTTAAGCAGCATTGCAGTGCATTTTTCACACAAACTCAAGGGAGATTTTATAAAGCCAAAGCTTAAATTTTGAAGTTTACTTTAAAGTTATGTCATCAGTAATTAATATGAGCATTTCAATCAAACCCGAAAACGCTATGTTCACACAGTGGCCAATATCAGATTCGAGTGTGAACTGGTTACGGTCCTGAACTGACCCGCATGCACAAAAGAACAATAACAGAGACGGCATGGAGTTAACACGGAGGTTCATGAAGTCAGCGGGTGCGTCTCAATCAGCTCCCCCGTTCCTAGGTCATGAATATCGGGTACATGAATTCGGGCACTGGTAAGGACAGTAAGGAACCTGACTCCCTACACATCGGAACACTGATGATTCAATTTCCAGCAACATGACAACTTTCCTATTACATGTGCAACATTTCAGCCATAAATAAATTATAAATACTAGCTAGATTGTTCGTTACCTGTCTAGCGTTGTGTTTATGCTGAAATATTATTAGATAATGGTCTGACACACAATAGATGTTTTTTTAAATTACAGTGTAGTGAGTTGGTTCGTGTGATTTATGTTTTGTGCTTCAGAACTTCCGTTAAGGGAACAAAGTGAGCATCGATGCTCCCTGGTTTTCACGGTGCATTGTGGGACATTTAAGGAGTGACTGTTTCAGTGCACTGGTAGGATTTTGCAAATGGCCGACTCCCTGGACAGTGCCCTGACTACTGAACTAGGGAGCTGACTGAGACGCACCCAGCATTTACGCGTTCATTTATAAGGTGATGTGACGAAGATGAGGAGAAAGAGATCAATGTTTTTCTCAGAGTTTTTTCTCAAGTTTTGCTTGTATAGTGCTGTCATCGTAATTCTTATGAGTATAACAGCTCACCGTCCCTCCACTGACTAACTTCGCTGCCGTCTTCAATATTCACTCAGTGACCAAAGCACTACCAGTATGTAAAATATTTGGAGTGACTCCCATGAGCACAGAATTGTAAAAGTTATATGAATTCCGATATAGCTGAAGTCGTATTGCAAAACATCAAACCTGTATGGAAAAAAAACAAACATATCCAAGTCACATACTAGGGGGAAAAAAGTGGAAAAAATGGGTCAGGGCCAGTTTTGCCTGAAGTCCACCAAACTCATTACGAGAGGTGCTCGTGTGAAATTTTCACATTATTTTATTCCACCATTTCAGAAGGACGTTAAATGTGTTTTTGCTTTATAACACGGTGTCATATTACAAGTAATCCATCTTTTAATTCCTGTGTTTCATTCTATTGCGCTTCGTCTAGAGTCATGTGTGATCTGCACCTTAAAGGGATACTCCTTTACTACTTTCTTCTGCTGAACACAAAGGAAGATATTTTGAAGAATGATTGGAACCAAACAGTTGTTTGGCGCCATTGACTTCCATAGTAGAAAAAAAAATACTATGGAAGTCAATGGCCCCCCACAACTTTTTGGTTCTAATCGTTCTTCAAAATATCTTTCTTTGTGTTCAGCAGAAGAAAGAAACTCATACAGGTTTGCAACAACTTGAGGGTGAGTAGAGTATATGATGACAGAATTTTAGTTTTTGGGTGGAGTATCCCTTTAAGCACAGGAATAAACATGCCAATTCAAAGCTGAATATGAGCCATGGGTGCCGCTCCAGTGCATCACAGTACTAACGTTTGGAAAATACTGGAATGCCGCCAGTATTTTGAGGCTTGGGCATTGTGATACTACCATAGCACCGGTGTACTGTGCAACCCTAGTAGTTGAGATTTTGCTTTATCACTACCTCAAATTTACTACTTTGTGTGTCCTACACTTTTGACCTTGGCTTTGATCTTAAGTTCCTTCAGTCTGGCTTTATATGCAGCATATTTTCCAAGGAATGATTTGCATACACTGAATGTTTGTATGTCAACAGTCTAAAATGCAAAATTAGCATGATTAAAAGGGCATCCATAATTCATGCAGGCTTCACACTGCCCAGTGTATCAGAGAAATTAACTCTTAGGGATTAAATCATAGGAATTTACATACACGATTGTTATATTCTGAACTTAATGTACTAATTTACAATTCAAACTGCTGGTGTCTCAGAAGTAGTAACATGGTCTGCATATAAATCATGTTACTATATGCATCATAATGAAAATGAATAGGACACATTTACCAGTATTGAAATTGCTTTCTCACTTTAATTCAGTGTTTTGCCTCATAAACATCTGTTGAGTATTTATTTCAGAGGATGTGTATTGTTGTTCATGCACATAATTCACACTTGCTTTCTAAGTAATGCCATCAAAGAGAGATTGGGCTTCCTAGAAAGTTCATGTTGTTTTCCAGCTGCGTTTCATTTGCTGTATCACTCTGCTGACGTAGTCCAAATTGATCAAGAACCTACCATTTGGGATTATCCCTTTTCTTTTCTCTGTCTGTGAGCAGGAATTGGCAGACACCCTGTACACATTGTATTCCAGCAAGCAGCTTTATTTGGAGTCGTAGCTGTTGTTTTTTTACATTTCTTTCTAGAACAATTGCAATACATCTGGAATGTATTTTTTTTTTCTAAAGATACACAATACATTTCAAGTAATCTGCATCTGAATTTGCAGGGCTTCGTGAGATAATTGTTGTGAGATTTGGTAATCATCATGAGAACAGCCTCTCAGCCACAAGTGTGCCTTCCATTTCAACAACCTCATCTTTAATGGAGCTTCAGTCAAGAATTATACCATAAATATTAAGCCAAGTATATCGAGTGCTTTGGCATCTTAGATTCTGTATAATATGCCCACAATATTGTGTAAAAGTATTCGGTCACATGGTACTGTAAAATGGTTTTGTATGTGACTTGCTGTATATACATACTGTAGAAAACTGACTTTTTTTTTTAGAGGAATTCTATTTTTTAAAACTTGTATAAACACTACAGAAAGAAACAGAATCAAAAGGAAAGCAATTGAATCAAAAATGACCTTTGACTCGCCAAAGTGCATCAAAAAGGGTCTTTACTGTGTGTAAGGGAACAGTTGGCATTCGAAACTCCAAACAAGCACATCGTGTTACATGCTTCCATGCCAAAGGAGAGAGGAGGAAAAAGAAAACACTTCTGAATTTTACAGTCTAAAGGCCTCTCAGTGCGATTTTCCTTTTCAAGCACAGAGGTCCAAAGGGCCCTGTTTTGATATTAGTGTTCCGTTCACAATTATTTATTTGTTCTTTTGAAACTGTAATGTTATCTTTTTTGCCAGTGTATTTTTGGTAATAAAGAATGTGAACAACAGTCACCTGAATGTGTCTTTGTTTGGTCTTCAGAGTTAGCAAAAGCAATCTACCCAACAACATTTATAAAATGCACTTATTTCAATTAAATCCTAAATTCAGTGGACTTCACCCTATACAGCAAAAGTGACAAACAATTCAGGATTTATAAAAGCAAAAACTGGTGAACTTGTGAAAAACTGGTGAAAATGTGAACATGTTCTTGTGCAAATGGACAAACTGTTCTGTAATAATATGAATATGCAAACTTTATATAAAAACTGAAACAAAGTATAGAACAGTATAAAATGACATCAGTCTATAATAATTGTAGAATGGTAATTAAATTGGATTATTTATTCATTTTATTATTTAATTTTATATAATATATTAATAATATAATAAGGGTCGTGTTAAGATGAAAAATATAACTTCTTAACCCGATTGTAAGGCCCCACAGAGAAAGTGCATTTTTGCATGCGTGTTGTTTCAGTTGTTCCTAAAAAAAAATCGTGAATTTAGACACATTTTACTAGGCTACTACAAAAGTTTTTTGGTGAATCACGATTTGTTCGTGAAAACATTTAAGTGGTGGTTTGTTGATCGAAAAATTAGAATAATTCCATATAGGTAAGTTAATATGTGGTGTGTTCATATTCTTAAAAAGATTTTGCTGTTTGATTGTTTTTTTGTTTGCTTGTTTTTTTTTTTTTTTGTGATGGAAGATCAGATGGTAATTTCTTTACATTCTGCCTGTTCTAACTCTAGCCATGGGTTTTGGAGATTGTCATATTTTATCCATTTGCAAAGATATTGTAGATTAGATGCTAATTAACAGTGTTGCAAATTTGTTGCTGTAGACGGCCTTGAGCTTTATTTATTTATTCCCATTGTTTGTAAACTTATTTAAAGTTAATTAAAGTTGAGACAAAAAGCACCTTATTTTTATGAGCTAATTGTGGAAAATAGAAACTACGTATGGGTATTATTGATGGATAATATCTTAGTCTACAAGCTAATGAAATATCATGTAGCATGTCATGTGGAAATTCACTTCTTTCAGTATCTATTTTTGTGTGAAAAATCAAAACGCAAAAAGTGTCTCAACTGTACTATGTGTGTCTACCCTACGAAAGTTTTAGGAAACTGTTACACATTCACATTTTGTGCTGCAACTCGAACTCTACCATATGGAAAATGTGTAAGATTCTGAAAGAAATAATTTGTGTGATTTAAGAGAAGACTGTTCTATTCTGGCTCCGAGGCAAAAGTAACATGCAATGATAACATTTGATCATTTAGCGGTTCTCTAAAAAACATTAATTTTGCTCTTTCATATACATGGGAAATGGGTCGGTGGAT